CGCTTGTCCTTTCGCGCCACTGTGACATTTTGTTAGATAATTGTCAACTTTTGTTGTCAGCCTTTTCACTTTTTTTTGTGGTTGTTGTTGCTGTCGTGTAGATAAGAGCTCTCTAATGCCGCCGCTGCCGCGTGACTGCACTGGCTTAACCTGGGTTAGACGTACGCGCGCGATAACAGCAGATAGCTTTGTGTTGTCAGAATGTTAATTGTTTGACTGCTTGTTTCGAAAATAGTAAACGGGTTAGGGAGGTCATGTATTGAATGGAGTATATGCACATACATATGTTCCTTAGGAAGTTAAGGCGTATGTGAAGACGGTTACATTAGGACAGAATTTTTGGAAAATACAAAATTAAATATTTTGCGCTAATCTAATTAATTTTTCACAATAAAAAATATGCCTATGCTTACATGTGTGCTCGCAAGCTTCAAACATATCTAATTTATAGTTTTCAAAAAATTTCGCAGTCGATAGTCAATTTCGAAGTTTCGAAAATAAGGTACAAATTCTCTGATATTGTACATAAACTGCTGAAATATTGCTTTAGAGGCAGCGTACATATTTGCGAGCTTCTAGCTTCATACTTAAGTGGATCATTTTTGAAAATTACGAATTTTCGAAGTGCAGTTTACGAATTTTCAAACCTCAAACTCTAAGGTTAGACGAGTTATTGTGAGTATGAAAGAAATATGTATTTAAAGAATTAAAATGAATATTTATATTTCATTTTCGAACTTTTATTTTAAAATTTTCGAATTTACGCTTTTTCAAACGCTGCCTCTAAAACAAAATGTCGCCATTTTGTGTCAAATATCAGAGAATTTTCGACCATATTTTCGAAATTTTGAAATTGATGATCGAGTTTTCGAACTTAAAGAAATTTAAATTTTTTTTTTAAATAACCTGACAAATACAATTTTACAGCACAAATATTTCTAAAGAAAGAGAGCTCATAATAAAAAGGAGCAAATGAATGGATTCGAAACAAAGAGTTGTAAACGCATTTTAGTATAAAACTTTTAGTTTTTAGAAGTCAACGCCAGCTGTAAAATTTCAGGCAATGGGCTTTATGTTGAAAATAATGTTCGGCTTTTTCGTCTATTGAACAGTGAGAGGAGTCAGCTATAGATAGAGTTTAATTGGGCCTCTAGTCATCGAAGCATCCACCGTAAGCAGGCTTCCAGAAACGGGTCGTTTATGACGTTAAAAAATGAAAGCAACATTTACGCGCACCAACTACACGATTCTAGGCATGGCCTTTGTAAATAGCTATTTTGGACTTTGTGGTGCCTCATTGGTTTAATCTTTGCACTATTTTGTTAATCAAATAAATTTTTCGGCCGAAAATCAGTTTCCGCCCATTCGAAATAATTTTCCTGATTTTTATTCAAACTCAAATTTGTTTAATACAAGTCATTAATCTTAAAGTCAAACAACCCATAAAATTCAGTGCATTCCTGCTGTTTATCACAGTTTCGAATACTCGCTCGCCTACCGCGCGCGCACACTTGGCCCCACTGCCGCACTGACTATAACAGCTTTTTGGCTTGCCAAGTGTCAAAGAAATATGATAAATGTTTATAAACTTACTGAATAATCGCCCACAATTAGGGACTGACATTTTTGTCGGAACTTTCATTCAACCACAGCAAGCAAAGTACGCATTTTTGGTCGCTAGAAATTACCCCCACCTCTCCCCCTAAAAACTATTGGCTTGCCGCCTTTGTGTGATACAACACAGCTAGTATTTGCCTGGTAAATTAACATTTTCTACATAAAAATTTTTGTTGTTTGCTTTCAAAATTATCTCTTAACGATTTTCCTTTTTCTTAATTTTTCAAAGCAGCAAGTAAGTACATTTTTTTTTCTACTTCATTACTTTACCTCGTCCAAGCAAATGTGCCGCATAGAGTATCTCACGAAAATGCTGATGCGCCTGCTGATGTAATAACGTAAACGATTCAGCTAAATTGGCAGCCATTGCCGCTGCACCACCGAACCCGCCTAGTGCTGCCGTGGCGGGCAACACATTGCTGCTCGCTGCTGGTGACGGCGCTGGCAGTGTTGCTTGCTGTGTTGATGGCAGTAAAGCGTTTGTGGCCAGCGGGGTGCCTGGCAATGAATACATCGATGGCGTGGTGGCGGCGGCAGCAGCGCTCTTTAGTGCCGTGGAAAGCGCAGTGGCGCTGTTGGGCAACAAACCGCTACCGTTTCCCATGATCGCACTTTTAAGGCCGCCGTGATTGTTGTTGTTGTTGGCCGTTGGTGACAACGCCGAACCGGACAGCGAGGAGAGCGTGTCGCAAGTGCTGCTGCCTGTGCTGCCAACACTGGAGCAACGCTGCTGTTGTTGTTGTTGTTGATGTTGTAGATGCATGTGCTGCTGTTGTAGTTGTGGCGCTGCTGTCTGTTGATGCTGGCATAACGTTTGCGGCGTGCTGTTGTTGTTGTTGAAGCGCAACGATTTTATCAGCTGCGCAGCGGTGGTTTTTATGCAATTCTCCTGCTGTTGTTGGTGTTGCTGTTGCATTTTGAGTAAATCACACAATTCACAATTTTTCATTTTGCCACAGTGTTTGTCTGTGCCGTTGTTATTTTTTGTTTAGGTTTTCGTTTTCGGCTGATTTCTTTGCTTTTAATTTCCACGCTGATTTTATGTTTATTTTTATGGCTTTTTTATAATTTGTTTGCGTTATTTATTTGTTGTGGTTTATGACTTTTGTAACAAAAATATATATGTATGTGGATGTGTTTACATTTAATATTCATTTATATTATTTTTATGCTTTTTTACGTAGTATTATTTTTATTGCTTTCAAGTTTTCAACAAGGAAGCATTTCTCTTCAAACTTTGTTTGGGGTTTTGTTCTTTTTTACGACGATAAGGCAACTATTTTTACGTTTTGTTTAACTTTTCATTCATTAACTCAGCACTTTTTAGTATGTGTTTTTTTTCGGTTATTTTGTATAAATGGATTTCCATTTAGTAGCAGCTGGTGGCTTGTGACACTTTCGTTTTTGTAAAAATGTATTGTTTTTAGTTTTTTAATAGAAGTTTTGATTTCTGCTTCGGCACTGATATTTGATTATTTCCTTGATATTTAACATATTCTGCAGATTACAAAATATTTGCTAATTTTGAGTATCAAAAAGATATGAAATTAATATCATTGAAAAATTGCCCATATTTTCGGTACTCAGTGGTATAAATTTATTGATATTTTTTTAAGTTGTAAGTTTATTTAATATTACATACGAGTAATTCGGTTTGGTAACTTTTTTACTTTTAATTATTTTTTTTTATTTTTTTATGCCCATATATTCGGCAATTTAGCAAGATAATTTTTTCCGATAAAATTAAAAAAATTTTTTTTTTTAAGTTCTTTATTTATTTAAGGTTTATTAATTTTTTAATCTCATTTTAATTTAAAATAAATTTCAGTAAAATTTTTAAAATTCATATTTTCTAATTTTTTGTAATTTTTTGCTTTATTCCATAAAAAAATATTTTTATTTTTACTTATTTTAATTTTATTTCACTTCATTCGTATTTATATTCCGTCACCGCTTCTCCAACTCTCCAGAAAAGAAAAAAAAAACAAATACCACACATTCACACATGCAGACCATTTGCCGCTTTTCGAAAATTAATCAATGTCTCTCTTACCAAATAATTACAGCGCAAAAATTTGAAAAATTTTAATGCCAAAAAAAAAATACAACGCTGCACTGGCGGCACAAATATTTCTATTAACGCGTTTGAACGGATTTTTTGGCGCCGACACCACTCTCCTTTCAATTTAAGTATTTTATTTATTTTAATTAAACATTTTCCCGTCGCTTTTTTTTTTTGTTTTGAGTGCATTGCTTTGCTGAAATTGGCATAGCAGCCTACATAAATGCGCGAAACATGTTCGCGCAATTGAGTAGCAGATAAAAAAATTACGAATGAAGCAAAAAATTAAATAAATTGTGCAATAAAAAATCACTCTGCGCATTAGGCATTTACGTAAAAAATAGTTGTATGTCACAGCGCGCCGCAGGTGACCACAGTGTGACAGCTAATTCTAAGCGGCCGCCACATTGCTGCTGCACATTTTGCAATGACTGTCATATTGGCAGCCACTTTTGACTATTGACTTAAGAATTTAGTGGCATGGCGCTTTTATTGTTGTTGCTGTTCGTTCTTGTTCTTGGCTGCCAGTTGGGTGACATTCATGCGATTATTAGCTGAGCTGCTGCCTCCTACTGGCCGACAGTTTGCCAAAATAAATACTAAACAAATGCAAAACAAGTAATTTTCTGCACAGTTGGCAACGCAAACGAGTGCGTGAAATTTTTACATATTTTTATTTTTATTTTATTAGCCTTTAAACATGCACACAGATGCACATTTTATAGTCCAGTTTTTCTTATTTCTTATTTTCGCGCGTTTGTATGATTGTGACTTTTATTTTTATTTTATTTTATTTTTTATTTTTTTACTGAGCAAAAGCATATCGCTTACAGCGCTGAAAACAGCGGGCAGCCGGAAGTTAAGAATTGTGAATGCTTCCTGCTTGGCAGCACTGGCGTTAAGACGGATGTTGAATGGCGTAGAAAGAAAAAGGCGCTGGCACACTAGCGTTGGCTGTGGGAAGCATTGCGAGTTGGCATTAAAGCTGGTAATATTTGCGTAACTTGAACTATTAAAGTTGTGCGATTGTTTATTGAAAGTGTAAAAATAACCTGTTAAGTTAGTAAATAGCAATTGTGAATATGATATAATTTATGCCAAGTGTGAATATGGCATAATCTATAGCAATCAATAATCGACGCTGTTATCGAGCTATCGTCGGCTATGACATCAGCACTTACAGCTGCTAAAAAGTTGGGCGAGGACCTTTATTTTCTCCCGAGTTTTTAGTTTAACATTGCAATAAAGTGTAGCGAAATAACGAGTGATTAGTTAACGAAATGATTTCACTACAACTCAGCAAATACCCGCCGGCAAAAGGCAAAGAAAATATTCTCGTGTTAACACACGATATATGTATAGTTGCCGCTAATGGGCATTTATGCACTCCGCGGCGCAAACGTGTGTTAATAGATTTAAATGAGGCAACAGCAAGTAAAGTGATGTCGCGCGAATGTTACACGGACAGAAAGGCGGATAGACCGAAAAACCTACAGCTGGTCGGTCAAAAGGTGCAGGTACTTTGCAGGCCAACTGGCCACTTACAATCACACCACGTCTTACACGTACCAAACTACGTAAGGTTGGAAAATTTTCCCACACATAAGACGAGTTAGTCAGTGCATGCTTGAATGAGCCGCAGGGGAGAGCAGCATACTAATGTACAAACGCTGCATTTAAATACCGACGCTGTGCAGTAATTGCCACTCATTGCCGGTGTCTGTTGTTTTAAGCGCTGTTGTGCTGCAGATTCATGCTTCAAATAGCTAAGTTTTGGTACGCAAAAGAGTTGGGCTTTTTTATTTCTGCGTTCTTGGTGTCTTTGATGCTGGCAGAAGTGTACATTTTAGGTGCGTGAGTTTTTAACGCTTCCTCTCTAAATAAATAAATAAAACAGCTACGGATACAAGGGTAGTATGCCGACAAGCAAAACTATCCGAAAGCAAAGAATGTCCCGCGAAATGCGTATGAATGAACTAGCTACAATAACAACAGCTATAGCAGCAATCAGCCAACCAGCTTCGCTACCAACAACGCTTTTGCCGCCGCCATTGGCATATGCATGGCCACCGGCTGTTTGGTTTTGTTCCGTGACCACCAACGGCCTGAAAAAAAAGTTCCTAAGTAAGCGTAAGAAAAATAAAAGAAATAAAAAGAAAAAAATTAAAAGAACACCAAGACCCAGCACCGCGTATATAAACTGTAAAGCGCTAAAGAGGTGGGAAAAAATACGAGCCCGTGTATTGAGTGTGGAAACCGACTAACAACTACAGCAATATTCGAAATCAGCGCAGGTAACATAGTAATAACAATAAAAAAACAATAGTAATTTACGCGGCCTACGAACATGGCATGAATGATCGGTGAACGCGTATTCATACATAGTTGTCGCCGCTGGCAGTGAACACTTTGTCCACATATAAAAGAACTTACAACTACAAACAGCGGCGCTGGTGCGAAAGCTCGGATCCAAACCACCACATGTTGGCTTTGTCGCACTTTGTTGGTGGAGCAGCGGTTACTGAATCGACCACCGACTCCAGCAAGTGCCCAATCTCACGCGGTGGCATTTGAGCGGCTTTACTACGGCTTGCTTTTGATTGTTGGCGGTGTTGATGATAACAACCGTAAACGGACGCGCAAACTGGCAGTAGCAGCAGCCGCATCACCTCACCACCACCTGAATGCTTGAATTGGCTGCATTTTTTTTTTTTTTTTGTTCGCTGGTCGTTTGGTTACGTTTAATGCGATTTTCGGCTTCGCGCTTACGCCACTTAAAATGCTGTGAAACTGACTGACTGCTGCCGCGTTTCATTCGTCTTGCATGCCGACGACTTCTTTCATGACGACCGCCTGTGCTGATTTTTGAGACTCGCTGCCGCTAGCCGCGTTGAGGCTATGCGCGAAAAAATTGTCGTTTTTTCGGCTTAAAAATTCCAATGAGATTTCAATGATTCGCAAAAATTTAAGAAATCCGAAGTGGAAGGAGAAACGCAATTTCGTGTATCTCGTTATGCAGCTTGTAAATGCGGAAATTTTTAACATTTCGCGGCACAATTGCATTAATGCGTTGAGTTTTGAGGAATTTTCCACTGTACAGCGGAAAAGTGCAAACAATGATGTGTGGTATTTAAAACTAAAAAATCACCAATTTCCTCATGGCAGACAGTCCAAGGCAGCTGGCAGCAATGCTTGGAAAATATGATTGCTCTCAAACCCGTACCGCCAACATTGCTATAATTTTTATTTTAAGTGATATAAGCCCTCTTGCACAAATTGCAACTGGAAACAGAGCTTAAGTGCTGGAATCGCCACTGCTGTTAAAGAAGGAAGTGTGGAAATCCATTAAATAATGTGATTACCTCTAATGAAGTAATCTTGTAACTCATTAAAAGAAATATTCTAATTTTGCCTTGGATTTCATTTCGTGTTCTGCTCTTCAGCACGCACAACGTCAGCAACAAATTGCTAATTAAGAACTTCAGTAAACGGTGCTAAAGGCAACACCGCTGTGATTATCATACGCAGTCAGTCATCAGCCACAGCTCATTCACAATTAATGTCTATTCGTCGTCATCATACGTTTATTCATTCAATCGAGACTTAAATAATATTAGCGTCATTATTCGATTAGACAAGCATGCCTGCGAGGCCAAACACAAACTCAACGAATGTCAAATTTATAAACGTCAGCATGGTTGGGGAAATTAATTAATTTCAATGTTGGTGGAAGTGTAGGAGGTGAGGAAGGAAAAAAGAAAGGAAGGCCAAAAAATTCCCTCTAAAACTTCTCACATGAGTGGATTTCCTTTTTAGGCGCGCGTTGTTAACTTCGACGTATTGCGTCGGACGTAGTCAATGGGGCATTAAAAAACGTGGAGCGAGTGCGTTAATATATCGAAAAATTCCTGGCGGCGCAGAAGTACGATCAGCATGCGATGATGCACTTTTTCATACCAACCAAATGAAATGAAAAACTGTAAAACGAAACAGCGCAAAATTGACATCGCGATTATGACGTTCGAATGGTAAGCAACGGCGCTCAAACTGTCACTCACTACCCAATGTGCCCGTGAAATTTCGACTTTGATGGTAAAACCTTGCCACGCACGCAGGCAAACAAGTATTGACGATGTCGTTGATGAAATTTATGTTGATGTTGATGCTGATGTTGATGTTGATGTTGACGATGATGCTGATGTTCGCGATGATGCTGATGTTAATGCTGATAGAAAATGCTGTGCGCAATAACGTTTAGTGCTAATGAAGACGATAACTAGTAAAACATTGCCAACGATCTGAGAAATGGTTTCACGAGCAGCCATTGAAGGTTCTGCTGTTGATATTACTGTTGATAAGTGCGCATTTTCAATGCTATGATGAGCAAGACGAAAATGTAATGAAAAGAAAATGAAAGCTTCAAATGCTGTAAGGA